TCTGCCCTACCTAGAGTTTACCTATTCCTCCCATACTCCCACTCCCTATCCCACTATGAATCAGCCTCCTAATATCAAAGAAAATTTTCAGCATTTTTTTGGGGRGGATTGGCTAACTTCACTTAGCATTATCTTCTCTAACTCCATCCATTTACCTGCAAATGCCATGATTTTATTCTCTTTTACTGCTGAGTAATAATCCATTGTGTATATATATATATATATGCCACATTTTTTTTATTCATTCCTCTACTGAAGGGCATCTAGGTTGGTTCCACAGTTTAGGTATTGTGAATTGTGCTGCTRTAAACATTGATGTGGCTGTGTCCCTGAGCACTAATCTCTAAAGTATATAAAGAACTCAAAAAGCTAAACACCAAAAAAACTAAATAACCCAGTCAATAAATTGGTCAAGGACCTGAAGAGACACTTCTCAGAAGATGATGTACAATCAACAAATACATGAAAAATGTTCATCATCACTAGCAATTAGAGAAATTCAAATCAAAACCTCTCTAAGATTTCATCTCACTCCACTCAGAATGGCAGCTATTATGCATACAAACAACAATAAGTGAGGGCTGGGGGTGTGGCTCAAGCGGTAGCCCGCTTGCCTGGCATGCGTGCGGCCCGGGTTCGATCCTCAGCACCACATACAAACAAAGATGTTGTGTCCACCGAAAACTAAAAAAATAAATAAATATTTAAAAAAAACAAACAACAATAAGTGTTGGTGAGGATGTGGGGGAAAAGGCACACTCATACATTGCTGGTGGGGCTGCAAATTGGCACAGACAATATGGAAAGCAGTATGGAGATTTCTTGGAAAATTGGGAATGGAACCACCATTGGACCCAGCTATCCCTCTACTTGGTCTATACCCCAAGGTCTTAAAARCAGCATATTTCAGGGACACAGGGACACAGCCACATCAATGTTTATAGCAACACAATTCACAATAGCTAAACCTAGATGCCCTTCAATAGATGAATGGGAAAGTTATAAAATTTTCTTTTTAAAGAAATACTTATTAATGTCTCCTGAGATAGTCATAAATGCCAGGTGGGAAATACCCCAGGATCTTTATCTATGGAATATACTCTTTATTTTGAAAAGTTTTCTTAGCTGCAAAATAGTTGGTTAATCAGCCTTGAGTTACTRTGACAAAATACCTGAGCAAATCAATTTAGTAGGAGGAAAGATTTATTTCGGCTCATAGCTTCAGAGGTTTCAGTCCATGGTCACTTGRACCTGTGGCCTTTGAGCCTGTGGCAAGGTAGCATACCAGGGCAGGAGTGTGTAACGGAGGAAGGTATTCACTGCATGGTGGACAGAAGTGAAAAGAGAGAACAGGGGCCAGGGTCCCAATATCCCCTTCAGGACATGTCCCCAAATGATCCAACTTCCTTCCACTAGGTTCCACTTCCTAAAGGTTCTGCCATGTCTAATAGCACCACAGGTGGGTGACAAGGCCTCTGATAGGGGTCTTTGGGGGGTATTTCAGATGCATGTGATAGCTAATAGCTATTTTCTTTTCTGGGTATAGATTCATTTGCAAATGGCAGTAAATCCTTGGCATCTGAATAAGGAAAGGACTTGGATGTTGTTCATGCCTGTTATCTTCTAACTTACTGGTTCAGTGATTTAGCCAGCCCTGAGTAAGCACTTACTGTGTGCTAGGAATGCAAAGTAAAATGGAATCTATGGAGTCTCACCCCAAGGGGCTCAGGAAGAGCAGAGACTTGCACAAGTCTAAGCCCAATTGCAGTTTGATAACTACTGCAAATSAATGTCAAAACTCTCCTTAGGTCATCCTTCCTAACCAAATTAGTTGCACCTTACAGAGAAGAGTTATTTGTGATATTTTAAAATCCTTTGTATAACATCTGGCAGGGACTATGCACATACTAGATGTGCAATATTTGTCAAATAAATGGCATACAAGGGGAAATCTTGCAACTTAATTGATGTATATTAATAATCACTTGCAAAAACACGTTAAAAAAAGAAAATCCCAAGGAGAACATTTGCCTGTGGCCCTGGGTTTGAACCTCAGGACTGGGGATGGGATGAAACCCAAAGATTGTACTAACCCCTCTAAGTTTGGTTCCCCATCTGTGGAATAAGGACAACAGTCCTACTTTCCCAGGGTTCTTTTTTTTTAATTGTTTGTTCAAAACATTACAAAGCTCTTGACATATCATATTTCATACATTAGAATCAAGTGGGTTATGAACTCCCATTTTTACCCCMAATACAGATTGCAGAATCACATCGGTTACACATCYACATTTTTACATAATGCCCTATTAGTAACTGTTRTATTCTGCTACCTTTCCTAGCTCAGTTGGTAGAGTGCTTGTCTTCTATACACAAGGCCCTGGGTTCAATCCCCAGCACCACAAAAAAAAAAAAAAAAAAAAAAAGAAAAGAATTTTTCCCAGGGTTCTTAGAGGGTTAAATAAGAATGTACCTCAAGCAGTTATTAAGTCCCCTGGCATGTAGCAGGTAGCCAGTGAATGATAGTCACAATGACTACAATACACTATGCTTTTTATCCACAAGGTTACTATAAATGGCMCACTCTGATTTGACAAAAAGGTCACGTAGAGCTTTTTTCGGCTCCATCAAATGTTCTCTTGCTGGCTGAGAACACAGTTCTGAAAGGTTGGGCGAACACATGGGCTTTTACAAGAGAGCTGGGTAAAGACCTTGCAAGATTAGTGGAATGGCCTTCTCCTCCCCATTAATCTCAATGCACCCTGTGAAACCGATCGGAGCCACATTTACCTTGATACCTCTGCCTGCCCCTGCGCTGTTTCCTAAACCAGAAGAGGCAGACATATTTCCTGGGTGACTTGTTAAGCACACTGAATCTCTTGCAAAAATCTCTGGGGACTGGGCCAGAGAGTGGCATTTTTTAACTTTGGGGACATTTTAGGCAGCCAGTGTGATGTCAGAAAGCACTCTGCTATGGCACTTGGCTCCATGTCTTAGAGTTGACCTTCCATGTTTAAGAAAAGAATGAATGACGGAAGAGAAGGCAGGGCCTTGAGCAGACATTTGGCAGAGGGCTTCATGCACACACGCATTTACACCATGGCCTATCAAGTGAAGTTCAGTCTGTGACATAAGATGGTRCCGTCACTTAGAACCAGGGGACCAGGAGCCAGAGATCTCTTAAAGGAGCTGGCACCGAGGACCTGTGAAGCAGGACCTGTGAAGTAGGACCTGTGAAACAAAGCGGACTGCTTTTTTTTTTTTTTTTTTGCCGGCAGTTGCCAGGCAGAACAGCCCAGCTGCTCACTGTAATAATTTGGATTCTTGGTTGCTGGTTACAGACAGCTCCAGGTTTGCATCATTCTGCCCGGAGCATCCCAGGGGAAAGTAAGAGCATCCATAAATAAGTCAAATACCTCCTGGCAGCCATAAATAAAACAGGAGGGTAGGAGCCTGATTGGTCCAGCCTGGGCCTCCTGCCCTTCTGGGGGCTGAGCACTGTGACCAGGGAGTAGGGGACATTGTTGGCCTGTTGTGTGTTACTTGTCCGTCCTTTGGCCAGGAGGCAGAGTCTCATGATTGGCAACTATAGCAAACACCCATGGAGTGAGAGGAGGTAGTTCCTTGAGGTATGGTTGCTACTGCCAGAGAAGTGGGTCTGCTCCAGCCCTGCCCCTGACCTGCTCTAACCAACCTGGGCAGCTGGCCAGCCTTGAAGGCATGCATCCTTTGTCCAAGAGCAGAGCTTCTCATGCCTCCTCGTTAAAGCACCTTTCATCTTGAAATAGCTTTGAAGATAATAAATTTTTATTTTCTGTGACTCGAGGATCATAACTCAAAGTAGCCATAGTCAGTCTAAACATCTCCTTTACCCTCTTCCTCTTCTTTTTTATCAGTATTGGGGGTTCTATCAGGAGCCTACTACCTCTGAGCTACATCCCCAGCCCTTTTTATTTTTTGGAAAGTCATTGAGGCTGGCCTCAAACTTTGATCCTCCTGCCTCGGCCTCCTGAGTTGCTGGGATTCACTGGAATTACAGGTGTACACTACCACATCCAGCTCCATCTAAACTTCTTTTGGAAGTTTCTTGTTTTAAATGAAAAACATTTTATGAATTCTGTAGTATCCATTTAGTGTTATAATAATGCTTTTCCCTCTATGTTTATTTTGGAAAAACTTCAAGCCTATAGAAAATTGAAAATAAAATTGTACCAGCAATACTCATTACCCTTCAGAGTCAACAGTCAACATTTTACCATATTTACTTTCTTTCTCTCTTCCAAATGTGTATGAGTGTATAAATATTTATATATACGATAGGAATATATATATATATATATAAAAGAATCACACAAAACGTACATATTTATTCTTATATACTTTATGCATATATATGTATACATATATATGAAGAAATACACAAAACACATATTTACTTTTTTTTAAAGAAAACTTTCCCCCCATAGCTTTATTGAGGTAAAATTAAAGTACAAAAAATGCACATATTTGAAATATGCTGTTTGATCCGTTTTGATATGTATACAAACAATACAATCAATATAAAATCAGCTATGCATCACCAAACAATATAAAAAACATTTCCATTATTTTTTTTTAATTTGAAGTCATGCAGTGTTTCCTGCATGATTTATTACATTTGAAGTCAATCACCTTAAGATTATAGAACCCACCCTCACATCAAGTATTTCAAAATTAAATGGCACACTTATATCTCTGAGGTCAGGCTGAGGAGTACCCATTAACTTTACTTTCTAAACCAGTTAAGAGTTAATTGTAGGACTGATGATAATGCGCCCCTTAATATTCCAGCATGTATTTTGAGATAGCCATGTTGGTTCTTGCAGGTATCCTTACTGTCCTTTTTTCTTTCTGTGCTATTGGGCCCTAAACCCAGGGCTTCATGCATACTAGGCAAGTGCTTGATCACTGAGCTACATCCCCAGCCATTTTTATTTTATTCTTGAGGTAGGGTCTTGCTGAGTCACCCAGGCTGACCTTGAACTTGTGATCCTCCTGCCTCAGCCTCCCCAGTCTCTTAGGTTACAAGCATATACTACTATGCCTTGCCTCCAGCATATATTTTTGAAGAACAAGCACATTTTCCCATATACCCACAACACAATTAACAAACCCAACGTTTTCAACAATAATGTAATATCATTCTCTAACATATAGCCCCTACTCAGATTTTCCCACGTCAGTAGGTCTTTGATGGTATATGTGTTTTTTCCTCCTGCTCTTTTATTGATAGGTTGCATTTAGTTSTCTTATTTCTTTAGTCTTCTCTCTTGGTCTTCCATACCACTGATATTTTTGGAGCCCAAGTTCCAGTTGTTTTGCCAAATGTGCCTTTATTTGGAACTCAGTGATTCTTTCCTTGTGATTAGCATCAACATCTTTGGCTGGAATGCTCCGTACTCCTCAGTGCTTCCCCCGGGGGCACATGATATCAGTTTCATGATCGTTTGGAGATGTTAGCTTTGATCACTTGGTTAGGACTGTGCTTGCCAAGCCCACCAATAACGCAGTACATTTTTCTTGTATAATTAATAAGAAATCTGCATGAGATCCTGTGAAAATTCTGTTGTCTCAAACCTTCTGCCCAATGGTGATTTTTGCTTGAATCAATTATTACTGTGGTGGTTGTAAAATGGTGATATTCTATCATTTATTCTGCATTTATTCATTGGTAGTCTATTTTAAAAAAGCTTTCCCCAACATTTGCAATTTTAGTAACAATTAGCAACAATAACCCAACACACTGTAATATATTCCTATCTATTCATTTTGGTGTTCATATTGACCAAAATGTGGCCAAGGGCCCTTGCAGGTTGGCACCCCTGTCCTTTTGAGATAGCCATGTTGGTTCTAGCAGGTGTCCTTACTGTCTGAAGATGTTCCAGACTTATCCTGGTACCATCTTCATCCCAAACCCTGGAATTACTCATTTGTTCAGGGATCCTTGATTCTTTTTCATAGAGAATGGTATCTGGATACCAAGTGCTCTGTGTCCTCAAAATCTCATGTGTTGGAAACCTAATCCCTAAAGCCTCATGCTGATGTTATTTGGAGGTAAGGTTTTTGGGAGGTACTCAGGATTAGATGAGGCCAGAGAGTGGAGCCCCCCCGAAGGCATTAAAGGCTTTATATAAGCAGAGGAAGAGAAACCTGAGCTAGCACACTCGTGCTGACTCACTATGGGACACCCTCTGCCATTTGTGATTCAGCCAGACAGCCCTCACCAGCACCATGCTCTTGCACTTCTCAGCTCCAGAACCAGGAGCTAAATAAACCTCTTTTCTTTATAAATTACTGGCTCTCAAATATTTTTGTCATAGCAACAGAAACAGAGAAAGACACCAAGGTATAGGTGGTGGGTGTGCTCATTACTGTTGGAATGATGCTGCTCCCAAGCTATATCAGAAGACAGGATTAGGGAATAGATGTATATATGTACATACACACACAGAGATATATCTACAGCTACTCTATGTTAGAAACTATGAACTTGTATTGATTGCTACCATTCTAATCCAACACCTCAGGATTCGTTCTATTTTTCTCCCTTTCCATATTTGCAATTCAGTACTTCAACAGTGAGAAAATAAAAGAAGAAGATAAAAATCAATTTTGAAGACTGTATCTTCAGGGATCATTCCTTACCAGAGTAGTTTCTCAGAATGCAAAGAGCACAGTGAGCCTGAGGAGGGGGTGCAGTGTTCGCTCTCCAGGATGAAGCCTGCTCTTGGTGTTGCTTTGCTGCAGCTGCCATTTGTCACTGATGATTGTTCTTTCCTTCCTTTTGCGGGAGCAAGAAGAGGAGGGTGCTGCCTGAGTGGTCTCTGTGGGAAAAGAAAAAAAGGAAAGAATTAATTTTTGCAAGCATTGTATTATGTGCACAGAATAGAATTCTCCTTGGTAATAAAAAATGAAGGAGCTAATGCTCAACACACAACATAGGTGAGCCCTAAAAATTACGTTGAGCCAAAGAATTGGACTCACGAAATAATCAGCTACGCATCTCCAAACAGTTCCTTTATACAAAGTCCAAGGACAAGCCAAACTAACCTGTGATATTAGAGCTCAGAAAGTGTCTGCTTGTGGAGCAGCTGGAGCTGGAAAGGAGCGCACTGGGGTTTCCTGGAATGGTGGAAATGTTCTAGATCTTGTCTCCAGGGTGGTTACACAGAGGTATTTGTCAAAATTCATTAAACCAAACATTTAAGATCTGTACATTTTATTATGTACAAACTGTATCTTAATAAAAGAAACACATAAAAATATATAAAAGACTTAAAAGTTATTAAGCTTCACTCGTAATAAGAGAAAGCAAATTAAAACTTCACTAAGATACCAGTGTAGCTATTAAATAGGGGAAAAAAAATCAAAAGTTTGACAACACATACCGTGGGTCAGACATTCTCATTTGCTGGTGGGAATGCAAGAGAGAACAGTCCCAATGGAGGGGAATTTGATACCATCTAAAAATAGCTACTTTTACCCTTTGTGCCCCCAACCTCACTTCTGGGAATTTATCCTGAGTATATAGTCTTATGCTGGATTTCCATGCACACTTAGGTCTATTTCTGGACTTCCTAGTCTTTCCTACTAGACTTGTCTATTTATGTTTCAGCACTACACAGTTTTAATTATAGAGCCTTTAAAATATGTTTTAATGTTTTTAAAAATGAATTTATTAGTTTTAATCAGTCATACATGACAGTATAAAGCTCTTTGATTCATTGTACACAAATTGGGCAGCATTTTTCACTTCTCTGACTTGGCATGAAGTAGAGTCACACCCTTTGTGCAATCATACATGTACCTAGGGTAATGATGTCTGTCTCATTCCACATCGTTCCTACCTCTTTGCCCCCTCCCCCTACCTTTGCCCCATCCAAAGTTCCTCCTCTTATCCCATGCTCCCCTCCTCCATATGGATCAGCATCCGCTTATCAGAGAAAACATTTGGCCCCTGGTTTTTTGAGATTGGCTTATTTCATTTAGCATGATATTCTCCAACTCCATCCATTTACCTGCAACTGCCATAATTTTATTCTCTTCTTTTAAAAATACTTTTTTAGTTGTAGATGGACACATATCTTTATTTATTTATTCTTATGTGGTGCTGAGGATCTAATCCAGTGCCTCATGCGTGTGAGGCAAGTGCTTTACCACTGAGCCACAACCCCAGCCCTATTTAATTCTCTTTTAATGCTGAGTAATATTCTATTGTGTATATATACCATAGTTTCTTGATCCATTCATCTACTGAAAAGCATCTAGGTTGCTTCCACAGTTTAACAATTGTGAATTGTGCTGCTATAAACACTGAAGTGGTTGCATTACTGTAGTGTGCTGTTTTTAAGTCTTTAGAGTATAGACCAAGGAGTGGGATAGCTGGGTCAAATGATGGTTCCATTCCAAGTTTTCTAAGGAATCTCCATACTGCTTTCCAGATTGGTTGCACTAATTTGCAGTCCCACCAGCAATGTATGAGTGTACCTTTTTCCCTACATCTTCATCAACACTAATTGTTGTTTGTATTCTGCCATTCTGACTGGAATGAGATGAAATCTTAGAGTGGTTTTGATTTGCATTTYCCTAATTGCTAGAGATGTTGAACATTTTTTCATGCACTTGTTGATCTATTGTATACCTTCTTCTGAGAAGTGTCTGTTCAGCTCCTTAGCCCATTTATTGATTAGGTTGTTTGTTTTGTTGATGTTAAGTTTTTTGAGTTCTTTAAATATCTTGGAGATAAGGGCTCTATCTGACATATGTGTGGCAAAAATTTACTCCCATTCTCTAGGCTCTTTCTTCACCTCATTGATTATTTCCTATGCTGAGAAGAAGCTTTTTAGTTGGAATCCATCCCATTTATTGATTGATGATTTTATTTCTTGCACTTTAATTATCTTGTTAAGGAAGTCGGGGCCTAATCCACCTCTATTAGGCACAGGGTTTCTTGTCTAATTCCTAGGTCCTTGATCCACTTTGAGTTTTGTGCGTGGGGAGAGAGAGGGGTTTAGTTTCATTTTGCTGCCTATGGATTTCCAGTTTTCCCAGCACCATTTGTTGATGAGGCTATCTTTTTCTCCAATGTGTGGTTTTGGCGCCTTTGTCTAGTGTGAGATAACTGTATTTACGTGGGTTTGTCTCTGTGTCTTCTCTTCTGTACCATTGGTTTGTTTTAATGTTTATCAAGGTTAATTTTCTCTCTTTGCCTTTCTTTCTTCGCTTTTTCTGCCTATTCTTGTGTGCTTTATTTTTTTTAAATGCAGTGTATTTGAAGGTTAGAATCAACTTTTCTAGATATAGAAACATAAGTGTGCCTTTTGCGTATTGAAACTACAGTAAATTTATAATTTAGGGATAAGTGACATCTTTATGATGGTCCTACTTTCCAAAAACAGGGTATCTTTCCATCAAGTCTCCCCTTACATTTTTTTTATGAAATCTAAAGATTTTCTCATTAGTCTTTGCACATTTTTTTAATTAGTACCTAAGTATTTCTTCTTTATTGTTCCTGTTGTAAATGTAGTTTTTGCTTTTATTACCCCTTCTGCTTATGTTTTGTATGAGGCTGTTGACTTCTGTTACTTTTATATCCTGCTCTATTATTGAATTATTTTATTGTTTTAGTCTTACCATTTACCCTCTTGTGTTTTGAATGCATAGTCTCATAGCATCGGTAAGGAAAACTAATTTTACTTCTTCTTTTCTTATTCTTATGCTTCAAATCACTTCCACTTGTCTAATTGCTTTGGCTGATATGTCCAATATGGTGTTAAGTAGGAGGAGAGATAGTTGGCATCCTTTCCATATCATCTGACTTTAGTGGTAATTTCTCTAGTTTAAAAAAATAAAATAAAAAAGCAGCTTTTGGATGTAGGATTTTTGTTTTGTTTTGTGCCAGGAATTGAACCCAGGGACGCTTATTCACTGAAGCACATCCTTAGCCATTTCTATTTTTTTTATTTTGAACAGAGTCTTGCTAAGTTGCTTAGGGTCTCACTAAATTGCTAGGGCTGGCCTCAAATTTGTGATCCTCCAGTCCCAGCCTCCTGGGTTACTGGGATTACCAGTGTGTGCCACCATTCCCAGCAGCATTTTTCTTTTAAATGTGCTGGGAAACATGAGCACCCATGTCTGAAAGAATTTGTTAGGCATGCAGGGCTTTGAAGTTTTCTCATCTGATTTATATTTGATTGGTTCTTTATTTATATTTATTTATATTTGATTGGTTCTCTCCTTCCCTCCATTTTACTCTAGCTACCACAAGTGAGAGAAAACATTCGACCTTCAGGTTTCTGATTGACTATTTTCACTTAGCATGATATTGTTCATTTCTATCCATTTACTGGTAAATGTCATAATCTCATTCTTTTTTTTAAATATATATATTTATTTTTTAGTTGTAGTTGGACACAATACCTTTACTTCACTTATTTATTTTTTATGTGGTGCTGAGGTTCAAACCCAGGGTCTCGCACATGCTCGAGCACTCTACTGCTGAGCCACAACCCCAGCCCCTAATTTCATTCTTTTTAATGGATGAGTAGGACTCCATTGTATGTATATACCACAATTTTTAATCCATTCATCTACTGATGGCGTCTGGGTTGGYTCCATAATTTAGCTATTGTGAATTGTACTGTTATAAACGTGGGCATGCCTGTATTGCTATAGTACAATGACTTTAATTCTTCAGGATAAATACCAAGTGAGTGGTCTAGCTGGGTCATGTGGTAGTTCCATGCCTAGTCTTTTGAGGAACCTCCATATTGATTTCCTTAATAGTTATACTAATTTATAGTCCTATCGATAGTGTAAGAATGTTCCTTTTTCTCCATATCCTCTCCAGCATTTATTATTTCTTGTATTCTTGGTGACTGCCATTCTGACTGGTATGAGATAAAATATCCATGTGTTTTTTWAAACATATATTTTAGTTGTAAATGGACCTTTATTTTATTTATTTATGTGTGGTTCTTAATCTTGAACCCAGGGCCTCACACATGCTAGGCCAGTGCTCTACCACTGAGCCACAGCCCCAGTCCCTCAGTGTGGTTTTGATCTACATTTCCCTTATTGCTAATGATATTGAACATTTTTTCATATATTTGTTTTTGCCAGTAAAGTATTATTAGAACTCAGGTATTCACATTCATTTATATAGTAATTATGGTTGGTTTCTTACATTTGTTAAGTTGAATGGTCATAAGAGAGACTTTATGGCTCACAAAGCTTGACATATTTACCATTTGACCTTTTTTATTTATTTTTTCTTGCAGTACTGGGAATTGAACCTAGGGTCTCCCACATGCTAGGCAAGCTCTGAGCTACATCCCCAGCTCCTTTTTAAAAATGTTTATCTTTGAGATAGGGTCTTGCTAAGTTGTCCAGGCTGGACTTGAACTTGTGATCCTCATGCCTTAGCCTCCTGAATCACTGAGATTACATGTGTGCRTTACTGACTCCTTTTGGAAATTCTGCCCAATGCCTTTGTTAGAGTTCCTCAGAATTCTTTCTTAGATTTCAGTTAGCATTCAGCTGATCTGTCTTTTTTTTCCTTTGTTCTAATTAGTTATACAAGACAGTGGAATGCATTTAACACAGTATATAGAAGTGGGGTCTAACTCCTCATTCTTCTGGTTGTATGYGATGTAGCATTACACCAGCCACATAATCATATATACATATAGRGTAATAATGTCCGATTCATTCTACTATCTTTCCTATCCCATACCCCCTCCCCCAGAGGATCTGTTTTGATCCTGCTAATTTCCAGGCACTGTTCTAGGTCCGTAGGATATATTAGTTTAGAAAACAGATAAAGAAAATCATGCCTGCTCTTTGAGAAAAGTATAAATATACATATAACAACATRAAATTATTATAAAAGCTAGAAGCTCATAAATGCTTTAGAAAATAAAATAGAGTAGGGGGTAGCTTGAGGGAGAGGGAGAGTTTAAAGAAATATGCTCAGAATAGGGCTTTTTGAGATGGTGATATCTGAATAGAGCCTTAAAAAAGATAAGGCAGCAGACATGTGGACATCTAGAGGAAGAGCTTTTCAGGCAGAAAGAATGGCAGTTTGAAGACCTGATGGCAAGGATCCTGTCTGCGAAGCTGGAGAACCAGAAGAATG